TAAGAAGTCATTCTGTGTGTATCTATATATATATGTGTGTATGTATGTGTGTGTGTGTGTATATATATGTATGTATGTGTCTATATATGTATGTATGTGTGTATATATGTATGTGTGAGTATGTATGTATGTATGTGTGTGTATATATGTATGTATGTGTCTATATATGTATGTATGTGTATATATGTATGAGTATGTATGTATGTATGTATGTGTGTATATATGTATGTGTCTATATATGTATGTATGTGTGTATATATGTATGTGTGAGTATGTATGTATGTATGTGTGTGTATATATGTATGTATGTGTGTGTGTGTATATATATACACATATATATATATATATAAAATCAACACAACCCTTCCAAAAGAACTGGACCATTTTGCAAATAGAAACTGACATTTGGGGCGGTGTGCAGAAAAGCATGCAAAGAGAAAACAAACAATTGCTACGTTACTCACTACTAAATACATTCAGCCCTCAGTATCCGCAGGTGACTGGTTCCAGGACCACCCGTACAAAAATCTGCACATACTCAGGCACCACAGTCAGCCCTACGGACACCGCAGATACAGAAAGCTGGCCCTCAGCGTAGGTGGGTTTTGTATCCCATGAATACTGTGCTGTTGATCTACACTTGGCTGCAGACATGGAGGGCTCATTGAGCTTATTTTTTAAAATCATGATTAAGTGGACCTGTGCAGTTCAAACCCAGGTTGTTCAACGGTCAACTGCATTTACACATTTCTTCAGAGAAAATCATGATTCCTAAACTTGTAGGAAATTTAGGTCTTATAATATATAGCTTTAAATAGCACAAAACTGTTAAATCACAGTATTTTAATCTATTAATATGTTCGAATTGGTGTCCATGTCATGAGCAAGCGCAAAATAGTAACTATTTATTCCACCCCAGGAATAAAGTATAACTGAAAGACCCTTTTAAGCTTGAAAATAATATACCCATCTTGCATTATATTAGGACTGACAGATCACAGTATTTTAATCTATTAATATGTTCGAATTGGTGTCCATGTCATGAGCAAGCGCAAAATAGTAACTATTTATTCCTCCCCAGGAATAAAGTATAACTGAAAGACCCTTTTAAGTTTGAAAATAATATACCCATCTTGCATTATATTAGGACTGACAGATCACAGTATTTTAATCTATTAATATGTTCGAATTGGTGTCCATGTCATGAGCAAGCGCAAAATAGTAACTATTTATTCCTCCCCAGGAATAAAGTATAACTGAAAGACCCTTTTAAGCTTGAAAATAATATACCCATCTTGCATTATATTAGGACTGACAGATCATAGTATTTTAATCTATTAATATGTTCGAATTGGTGTCCATGTCATGAGCAAGCGCAAAATAGTAACTATTTATTCCTCCCCAGGAATAAAGTATAACTGAAAGACCCTTTTAAGCTTGAAAATAATATACCCATCTTGCATTACATTAGGACTGACAGATGAGGTGGCGCAGAACCATTTTTCTGACAACACTGTAGTAGGTAAAAAACAATGTTTAGATCCATAAAAATGAGATTACTCTAAGGAACAAGCATACTATCAAATGGATGGAATACATGGTCCTATTTTTCTAAGAACAGAAACACATCCTGGACCTTACAAATGATTATTTTGTATTATCCCATTCATAAAATACTGTATTAATAAACAACAGAAATCAAAATCATTTCCTTCTAAAATTGGCACTAAATGCTGTAGTGCCAGGTTAGATCATTTTGTATCTCCTTTGCTAAGTTAAAACAAACTCTTCACAGCAATCCCATTACTGGGTATATATCCGAAGGACTATAAATCGTTCTACTATAAGGACACATGTACACGAATGTTCATTGCAGCACTGTTTACAATAGCAAAGACCTGGAATCAACCCAAATGCCCATTGATAATAGACTGGATTGGAATGTGGCACATATACACCATGGAATATTATGCAGCAATCAGAAATGATGAGTTTGTGTCGTTTGTAGGGACATGGATGAATCTGGAGAACATCATTCTCAGCAAACTGACACAAGAACAGAAAATGAAACACCGCATATTCTCACTCACAGGTGGGTGATGAACAATGAGAACACATGGACACAGGGAGGGGAGTACTAAACACTGGGGTCTATTGGGGGGATAAGGGGAGGGCCAGTGGGAGGGGGAGGTGGGGAGGGATAGCCTGGGGAGAAATGCCAGATGTGGGTGAAGGGGAGAAAGGAAGCAAAACACACTGCCATGTGTGTACCTACGCAACTGTCTTGCATGTTCTGCACATGTACCCCAAACCTAAAATGCAATAAAAAAAAACAAAAAACTCTTCATTAGCTAATTCGTTCACTCAATAGCTTGAAACACAGACGTCCTCCAGGCAACTAGAGAAGAACTGGATCATTCCATAGTTTTAAAAGAATACATTTACCATAAGCTATAAACTTTATTATGTACAATAATCTATTTGATTTATAAAAACTTAAGGATGATTTTAATTAGTCTGTTTCCATAATTTCACTTGACCATAAAACAAAATAAATGCAACTTAAAAAATTATATTTAAATAAAAAGATTCACAAATAGAAAATTAAAAGCCTAAAAGCAAAATAACTAAAAAGATGAATGATGGGTTTTCTCCTCCAGAAAAAAAATGTAGAGTAATTAGACATTAGCTGAGTCAATAATATACATTAATACAAAAACAAAAACAAAAGAAAAAACAAGCAAAAGGGCACTGGTTCAAAAGAGCAGACTGAGTTATAAAGATCTTTTGCTTTCCAAAGTGCCTTTGAAATGAGAAAAGACATTGTAAATTTAAAAAAAAAAAAAAACCTTAGTAGGCCTAGAAAATAAGAAATGGGATAAACAGCAAACCAGAAAGTTTAAAGAAATCCTAGATAAGGCCAGGCTCAGTGGCTCATGCCTGTAATCCCAGCACTTTGAGAGGCCGAGGTGGGCAGATCACAAGGTCAAGAGATCAAGACCATCCTGGTCACATGGTAAAACCCCGTCTCTAGTAAAAATACAAAAATTAGCTGGGCGTGGTGGCGTGTGACTGTAATTCCAGCTACCCAGGAGGAGGAGACTGCGGTGAACTGAGTCTGCGCCACTGCACTCCAGCCTGGGTGACAGAGTGAGACTCCATGTCAAAAAAACAAAAACAAAAAAAAACCAAAAAACCTTCCAAGGATTTCTATCATATCATGCTTACGGTAAAATGTGAAGTTTTTGTTTTGTTTTGTTTTGTTTTTTTTCCATTGTCTTTTAGGCATTAAGGGATCCGGGCCCAAGGTGCCACTATTCCCTTTATACAGTCCTTGGAGTTACTCTTGCTGCTAGGCTCATCTGCACCTCAGGACCTTTGCAGTGATCCCACCAACTAGGAAGCTCTTACACCAGATGCTCACATGGCCTGCTCCCTTATCTTCTCGGAAAAACCTTACCTGGCCTAATGTAAAGATTCCTCATTGTTGTTACTCTTTAGACTCTTACCCTGATTTGGTTTTCTTGAAAGCATGCGACACTTCTGGGTATTATATATCTTACTACATTTTTCTTAACTGTGTCTCTCCACTAACATGTAAGCTCTTAGAGGGCAATGTCTTTGGTGCATAAATATATCCCACTATCTATGATAATGTCTAACTAGCATGTACTAGGTGCTCAATGAATATTTACTCAATACCTACCACAAATAAAATATAAATAGGAAGACAGAAGATATGACTATGTTCCCTCTAATCAGAGATATGCATTTATAAGACTGTAAAATCACTTGCTTTTTTTTTTTTTTTTAATCTAAGTTTAATCATTTGTCACTATGTCATCTTTTGGTGCTATCACTGCTCATGGCTAAGCCTCACAAGCCATTCATTTTCTGGTGACCTATACCATAATACAAACGTAACAAATTATACATAAACACTGAAAAGTTTGAGTTTTATGATCATGAACTAGAATGTGATAAACTTAATGGCTGTGATAATGGTATTAACATGACATTCTGTCCTCCAATAAATTATAAATTTGAAAAAAAAAATGACAGTCGCTCTGGTAGGTTTTGAAATATGTAATGAAATAACATATAAGGTAAGTAGTTTAGTAGTTTTACATTTAGTACTATTATGTCAACTTTGATATAACTTACTTTCCCTGTTTAATTACTGTTCATTTATTTAATAAACATTTAGTGATTCTTCGTCTCTGTGCCAGGAGCTTAGAAGAGGCTGATAATCAACTTGGTTTGTAGCAATTTGAGAATTTCAACTCTCAAGGAAGTTGTTCTAAGCCAAATCTGCTTCTATTTCCCTGAAGCCAATGTGTATGCTACGGGGTTTCACTGGCTTTTCTTTACATTGTCTTCAGTGGTTGCAAACTACAATTCACACTGTTGCTTTTACGGATACATACTATCATTCACTTTTTCACTTCTTCTCAGCTCCCAAGAATAGCTATAATGCCAGTACAAGAATGTGTAGTTAGTTCTATAGCATCTCATGGTTGGAATCTTGTAATTTTATGTTTGAGATAGCCAGGCATGATGCTATAAGGAAGGGAACTCGTTTCCAATGCCAAGATGGCATCAACTCTTGGGTAAGCTCCATCAGGACAAAAACCATGTCTTCTTTGTTTATCAGCTATTCCAAGCTCCCGGCACAGGGCTCAGGACTCACTAAATGTTCACTGAGTAAACGAACAGTAACTGAACAGGGAAAATAAGCTACACTGAAGTTGATATGATACTACTAAACGGATTATAATAATTAGGTGTCAAAACAAGGAATAAAGTTAGATATAAAAATCATGTGACCAAAAACTTAAAAAAAAAACTGAGCCAGTAAGTTAGGCAAACTCATCAATGATGTTGAAGAAAATAAACAGCTACAAACATTGGAAAATCAAGCCATTTTCTAAGTTAATTCAAATACGTCATACTAACAAAAATCAAAAAGAGTTTTCTAACTAAAGCCACGTTCAACTCACAATCTTCTTTGCAGTTTCTGTGATAACTTGTTCTAGAGGTTTCCAGATCTGAAATGCATAGCGACCTAAATAGTAAAAGAAATAAAAGCAAACATATTTTCTATAATCAAAATCAATCATTACCTTCAAAGTGCTTGTCATGGTATTTATTGTTTATATGTTATTTCAATAAATATTTCAAAACTTACCAAAAAGATGGTCATTTTTTTTTCAAATTTATAACTTACTGGAGGGCAGAATTTCATGTTAATACCACTATCATAGCCATTAAATTTATCAACTTCTAGTTCATGATAATAAAACTAGAAATTTTCAACATTTACGTATAATATCTTACATTTGTATTATGGTATGGGTCACAAAAAAGATCCTAGTATTCTTTCTACAACAAACTGTAAACTCCTATTATGTATAAAGACACTTATAATACTAAAATGATTAATTGTATTGCTTTCTATGGTGATACTCACTTTGAAAAATATAGAAAACAAATTCTATTTATGATCTACACTACACCTATGATCTTAATAGAATTATCTCTAAAGTAAAAAGGCGATTACATATGAAATAATTACCAAGGATGTTAATTATCAGTTTTTCTCACTGAGGATGGCTACTCTCTCTAAAAACTTATTTTTAGCTCTTTCCTTAGTTAGAAATCCTAACAATCAAAACCCCCCTGAGTCTTGACAACTAAGAGTCAACAGTAAAACAGGTTCTAAATTATTTTGAGGGCATCAAACAAGAGTAAAATATTATCTAGTTAATTTATCTTTTGTACCCCAATCAGATTTTATCTTCTAGTATCTCTTTCTCCAACAGTCTTGCTAGGAAAACAGTACATGACACGACAGGCTTTAAACTGCTAACCATTAGCCTATATGCAAATCAAGAGTTTTACTGCAAAAATTCAACTATCTAGATCTGTTAGAAAAATTTACCTGCCTATGTATACTGTTATTTCTGGGCAAACACGTTACGTGAAAGACTGGATGCCAGAAATGGGAAAATGTGAAGATTAAAAAGCTCTCGTCATAAAGAACACTAAAGTGAAATTAAATGAGGCTGAGTCCCTAGCTTGCCTGAATCTCTTATCACACAGATGACATCTCCCACTTGATTTTACAACAGTATGAAATGTAGCTTTTATATTACCTCAAAATTCTTCAAATCCATAGTGACTGACTTCTAGTCTCGGTTAAAAAGCAGTTGAATGCTTTAAGAAGTGACATGTCGTGGTTTACTCTAACTGGAGGACCTAGTTCTAACAAATCTAAGTGTACTTTCTCCTAAATTCTGTTTTGTGGTTGTCTTTGGCTCTAAAAGAGATTTTGCTATCATTTAATATAATACTCTAGTCAGTAATATGAGTTTGGAAACAGTGTGTTCTACACAGAATGCACACACCAATTGTTGTCATTTTAGAAAGACAACCCTGGAAAAAATACATATTTATCTAATTTCAAATCAAAATCTTACATTTGAATTCATAACTATGCCTACTGTACTATAATAATTAATACTAAAATTCCTTTATGTTTAGGGGCGAGTTTGTCAGAACTTTTTTTGAGACATGATATTCTTCTCATGAAACCTCAGAAATTAGTTAAGTATAAGTTATACAATTGAGACATAAGACCCTGATGACAAAAAGATCAAAAGAATCTGAACCACTGATCTAGATTTTAAAGTTCTGATTGTTAAGGTGTTTTTTCACTTGCAAGACAAAAGATTAAAATCAATGGTTTAAATGATAATCATGAGAAATCAAATGTCATATAAAACAAGACCCTCTTTTTTTTCTCACTTTTCTATTAGATCTTACTAAACTCCATAGAGCCACAGTGGAATGAAACTTTGCCTAAAAGAAGATCCAATTAACAAGAGCAAATCGATAGAACTTACAAACACAAATGCTAAAACAAAAAAGGAAATCTTTATCAGTAAGGAAATATTATCAAATTAACATTTAATTAGGAAATAGCTCATTTTAAACCACTATAAGTTAATGACAGACTCCGCAAATTTACTTTAGAACTTTAGAACTATTCTATCAAGAAAGGTAATTTTAGCAGTGAAAAAAGTCTCCTGGGTTTATCAAGGTAATTATACCAATATGTTGAGAGACAAATTAAAAAATAAACTACAGGGAACAAGTATGCTCATGAGAAAGAACTGACAGCTCAAAATGCATAAACCTATTTGCAAGAAAAAACAAATATGGGAGAATAAGGAACCCCCCATACCACTTATGTTACATAATATTAAAGATTTCTTTTTATAGTATACTATCCCTCAAATTGAAAAAAAAAAAATGCCAGGAAGATAAACTATTATTGGAGCTAGTTTTCCTGGCTTTTGTATCACTAATTTTCTTCCCATGAAGTTTATCTAGATTTTGCTACAATGACAAATGTTCAGTAACTACAAATGGTGGGAAGAATGAGAATGTGTAATGCCTAAAAACCAAAACCTCAGAACTCTAAGGGTCTACTCATGAATCACAGTAGACGCTGTTTGGAAAGATTTCTCCTGCAATTTATTGGTATATATTCTTTATCTTACCTGCAAATAGAAGAGCCGCAACACCCAGTCCTACAGTTATCAAACTTCTTGACTATGGAAGAAAAAAATGAACATTACTTATGATATAACACGCTGGGCTTTAAAAGTAAATCATTTTTAATAATGAGAATAATTATGTTACAATACTACATTTTCTTCAAGCTCTACTGTGAAGACCAGGACTGCAAAAAAGATGCAGTGTCTATGAGATTACATCTGCTGCTCACTATATCAGCGAATTCTCAGTGAACTGAAATGATTCTAGATTTTCATTTAATTTCCATATATTTGAATCCATTCTAACCAAGAGCTTTTATATTACCGATTGCTAAAATTTTTTTCTATAGACTATTTTTAATAGTGGGGTTAATATCTTCTATAAAGATAAAAGGCACATATTTCCTCCTCCATATTTTGCACCGGCAATGTTCAACAGCATTTGCTATATTTAAAAATTTCATGAAATCTGACATTAATGTTTAGGAAAGAAGTAAAGCTTCCAAACTTAACAAAAAATAATAATAATAATAAATCAAGAGTTGGTTAAAGTCTACCCTAAAGATTTTAAAGTAGGGGCCCAAAACTCAGAATGTCAGAATCTAAAGACATAAGCTAATTCTGATAAAAATCGATTTTAAATTGGCTGTATACCTTTATTATTCTAAGCTTTTCTCCTTAAACATCTCAGGAAAATATTAATGTCACAATAACCAAAGATTTATGTGGCAAAGATCAACAGCTATCCTGAACATCCATTCTCCTTTTTTTCAATAGGATCAGGAATTCCTATCTTTAGCCGACATATTTTTCCAAGCCTGCTTAACACTTAGGTGTGGCTATGTTAACTAAGTGTTGGCTCATAAGATACAAGCAGAGCAGTGGATGCAAGTCCCGAGAGGTCCTACGGGGTGGTAGGGAGATGTCCTTCTCCTTTTCCACTTCTCCTTCCTGATGGCTGGAATGCATACATTATTCCTGGAGCTCCTGCATAAAGAAGAACGATGAGATGAAAAGACACTGTTCCAGACGATCATGGACTTGCCTTGTCACCCCTGAACTGTCTCTGTTTATTAGTACCTGAGATAAAAAGAAAAGTCCTATCTTCCTAAGCCACTCTATTTTTGGGTTTTAGGCACTTGGAGCCAAAACAAATTCTAATGGATACAAAATGAAGAAGTGAAACCACAGAAACGTTTTTGTCTGGTAAGCGGTGAGAGAGGCAAATCCATAAGGGTCAGCAAAGACTTTTAAAACGCTAGCATAATCTCCCTAGGGAACAGAATGAATATACTTCTTCACTGCAGACCCAGTAAGACAGAGGCTGAGACTAAAGGGATGCGAAAACGAAGAACTCATTCAGCCACTGGCCTTCAAGTTCTGTAAGGAAATATACACGCCAAATCATAGGAAATCAAAGTCTCAACCTCCAAGAATGACTCTATACGGAGAAGTACCAGGTCAGCAAGGGTAGCTGCGTGAAGGTGCTCTAACTTTAATATGCAAAACTCCGAGAAATCTAGAGCCTGAAGACAAGATGAAGGATATTCCTCTAGGCTTCTCTCCCCATCAGTTCCAGCTTTAAGTCATGCCTTTTCACAAGGAAATGACAGCAGGGCCATTTCAGTAAAAGAAGATTCATTCCCTAGCAGAGAAGAGATCGCACAGAGCTACCTACCAGAGAGGGAAACAGTCTTTAGGGTTCTTTTCTGGTTGTCCAGCCTGCCTGAAACAGAAAGTTAGTCCTGAATAGAAGACGTATTTAAAGAAAATAATGTTCTGTTGAGGTATCTTTTTGCCATTTTCTAGGGCTTCCCTGGTGCTGTGTATTTTGAGCTCTCTGGCCTGACCTTCCATTGGTTCACTTTAAGGACACTCAGTCCAAACAAACTATTCAACTATTTCATATATGAATTATATCTTCTTCCCTTATAACTGTGTTTATCGTTTGCTCATTAGAAACACTCATTTTGCCTACTTAAATCCTACCTGCTCTTAATATCTCAGCCTGAATCTGCCACAGAATGGCGGAAGTCATTTACAACACATAGCTAAGGGCACATATTCAAATATACATACAGACTTCCTCCAAATTAATAATAAAAAGACACACACACAAAACTAAACTGCTAATAAACATATGAAAATGTGCTCAATTTCAAGTGGAACAAGAGAATACCAACAACAACAGAATGGCATAGAATATTAATATCAGAATACAAGGATCTGTGGCCTTTATGAAACTTGTTTTGTCCAATGATGCATCCCAAGGGCATAGCAACAGTATCTATACCTGACAGGGTTATGTGAGGATAAAACGTAAGATACACATAAAGGATTTAGCACAGTGACTTGGGAAATGTCGAACAATCAGTAACTGTAAACTGCTTTCAATATTAGCAGTAAAAGCTGGGTGCAGAGGCTCATGCCTGTAATCCCAGCACTTTGGGAGGCCACAGAGGGCAGATCACCTGAGGTCAGAAGTTCGAGACTAGTCTGGCCAACATGGTGAAGGCCCATCTCTATTAAAAATACAAAAATTAGCTGGGCGTGGTGGTACACACCTGTAATCTCAGCTACTCAGGAGGCTGAGGCATGAGAATCACTTGAACCTGGGAGGTGGAGGTTGCAGGGAGTTGAGACGATGCCACTGCACTCCAGTCTGAGCGACAGAGCCAGACTCTCTCAAAAAATAAATTAAAGGCTGAACGCTGTGGCTCATGCCTCTACTCACAGCAGTTTGGGAGGCCATGGTGGGCAGATCACCTGAAGTCAGGAGTTTGAGACCAGCCTGGCCAACATGGTGAAACCTCATCTCTACTAAAAATATGAAAATTAGCTGGGCATAGTAGTGGGTGCCTATAATCCCAGCTACTCGGGAGGCAGAGGCATGGGAATCGCTGAACCCAGGGGGTGGAGGTTACAGTAAGCCAAGATCACGCCACTGCACTCCAGCCTGGGGGATAGAGCAAGATTCTATCTCCAAAATAATAATAATAATGATAATAAAAATTATCAATAAAAATAACTACTATTAAATAAGAGTATTATAACAGAAGTTCAAACAAAGTTCTATAACACTTAAATATGTATGAGTAAGAGAAGATTCAGAAAGTGTTTTTGAGGTAGGCTCTGGAAAATGAACTGGTCTTTCCTAGGTTAACTACCCCAATTTTTCACATTTTGATAAATGCACATTTGAAAAATCAAAAGTCTTTAAAAAGGTAAGCTATCATAATATTGAATTTTTATAGATTAATAATTATTGCATCATTTTACTATTTCAACCATTCAAAATGAGAGAAACAGTTGCCTCTACAATTGCAAAGAGATTTTTATTTCAAGGATTAAAGGTATATAAGAAAACATTAAACCATCAAGCATTTGCTCATTTTTCACTTTATTTTAACAATTGTAAGGCTAAATTGTGATTAACAATAAAAATTTGATTTAATTCAACAAATAAGTATCACGTACTCTGTTGCTTATTCTCCATTTGTCTCTCCCCAGATCCATTTTCTAGGTTTATCTGCCTTGCTCTGCATATCTGCCTCACCTTATTTCTAGGGAATAACTTGCCCTTTAACTTCCGGTTGGGTTTCACCAGTGAGAGGAAGAATCAGCAGAAAAAGAAATAGTGGAAGGAAAGAGAAATAATGGCATAATTTATTCCCCGTTTCTTCCCTGTCTTGTTTCTTGTTTGGCCACCGCTCCTGTTGGGGTGGCTCTTCTTTCTGCCTACAACTCTCACTGAGTTTTGGAACATGGTTTCCATCCGTGTCCTGTCACCTGGATGGATAACAGTGTCCAAGTGTTGCTAGTCTCTAGGTGATTCATCATCCTTTCTTAATTATCTTAAACCATGGCGCACCTCTGCAAACAGTCCTTCAATAAACTATCTTCAAAAAAAAAAATCCACCTATTACTGCCAGGATTCTCACTGATAAAATCATCACTACATACCAGTTACTCTATTATGTGAGAGATGTGGCATGGAACAGGGTAAACTTGGCTCAAGTGTCTATATCAAATGAGTCCTATATAGAAACTTGAACATGTCAGGTAGGCCTCCAACTCTAAGCTAATCTCCTAAAGATCTTGCTTTTTATCCTTATTACAACGTTCATTGTACTAAATTAGTTAGATAAGTATTTGTCCACACCCACATCTCAGGTGGAAATGTAATCCTCAATGTCGGAGGTGGGGCTTGGCAGGAGGTGTTTGGATCATGGGGGCAAATCCCTCGTGGATGGCTTGGGTCATCCCTTGGTGATAAGTGAGCTCTTGCTCTGAACACAAATGGGATTTGGTCATTGAAAAGTATGTGGCACCTCCCACCACACTCTCCCTCTTTTGCTACTGCTTTCCCCATTTGAAATGCCTGCTCCCATTTCACCTCTGCCATGACTGTAAGCTCCCTGATACCTCCCCAGTGGCAGAGCATATGTCAACACCATGCTTCCTGGAAAGCCTGCAGAATCACGAGCCAATTAAACATCTTTTTTAAAGAAATTGCCCAGTCTCAATATTTCTTTATAGCAATGCAAGAATAGCCTAACACGTCTCCTTTAGCTTTTCTAGGTATTAAAAGTCTTTAAAAATTTGACAAAAATCTATGGACCATCTCCTCAGGAAAACACAAAAATATTACAAAAATTTCTATACAATTTGAGGGGATTCCATGGGTTTTCCTGAAGTCCTTCAGCTCACAAGCTCCAACCTAAGAATCTTCCTTTAAAAAGAAATATAGAAATATACGAGCTCACTGAAGTCAGAGAGGATCTCTCATTCAATTTTCATCTCCCAGAGAGTAACAGAAGACCTGTCACATATTTCACTTTTCATTCATTCAATAATATAATTAAAAACTTAATTTTTAATGACCAAATTAATAGACTGTTTCTCTAAAGACTTATTTTATAGGAGAAAAAAAAAGAAAAACCTAAGACCTTGTAAACTTTAAAAGCAAGAAGAGGAAAAAATGGTGAAGAGGCAGGACTAACTTCCAGCTCCCACTTGGATGAACAGAACAGCATGTGAAGACTCACATCACAA